CAATCAGTATAATTCACCATGTAAATAAAACAAAGAAAAAAAATCACATGGTCATCTCAATTGGTGCAAAAAAATAAATAAATAAAAGCATTTGATAAAATCCAACACTTTTCCTTGAAAAAAGCTGTTAGCAAAAGAGAAACAGAGAGAAAATTCCTCAGCATAATTAAGGCATAAGTGCAAAACCAATGGCAAACATTATCTTCAATAGAGAAAGACTGAGAGTCTTCCCCTTGAAAATGGGAATGAGACAAGGATGCTTGCTAATACCACTTTTACTCAGTATGGTACTGGAAGTCCTAGAGCAGTTAAGGCAAGAAAGAGAAATAATGTGTATCCAAATCAGAAAGGAAGAAATAAAACTATCCCTACTTGTAGATGAAATGATACTACAGATAGAAAATCTCAAAGAGTGCACAAGAAAGCTTCTGGATCTAATGGATGAATTCAGCAATGTTGCTTGATACACAAAAATTAGTTGGGTTCCTAGACACTAATAGGTAAGATATGAAAAGGAAATCAAGAAAACTGTATCATTTACAATAGCCTCAAAAATGATAAAATATTTAGGAATAAACCTAACAAGGATATAAAACATTTATACAAAAAAAAGACCTATATAAGTGGAAGGTCATTTCCTGCTCATGGATTAGAAGACTCAATACTGTGAAAATATCAATACCATCTAAAGTGATCTATAGATAAAATGCAATCCTAATCCAAATTTCAACAACATTCTTTACTATAATAGAAAAACTAATCATCAACTTTATTTGGAAAGGAAAGAGGTCCCAAATAGCCAAAGCAATACTAAGGAAAAAGAACAAAGTAGGAGGCCTCACACTTCCCAATCTCAAAACAAAGAATACAGTTATAGTAATCAAAATAGCCTGATACTGGTTTAATGACAAACACATAGACCAATGGAATAGAATTAAGAACCCAGAATAAATCCATCCATGTAAGGACAAATGACTTTCAACAAGGGTGAAAGTCCATTCAGTGGTGAAGGAACAGTTTCTTTAATGTATGGTGCTGAAAAAGTAGGATGTCCACTTGCAGAAAAATGAAACAGGACCCATAGCTCAAACTATACCTAAAAACAAACTTAAAAAGGATCAAAGACCTAAATTAAGTGAAAACTGTACAGTTCTGGGGAAAGAACACAGAGACAAAACAATGGGACTAATTTTTTTTTTAATTGATTATCAAACACAAGTACAAATGCAAGAGTAGCAGAAGATAAAATAGATAGCCAGGACCTCATAAAAATTAAACACTTAAGCTCATCAAAAGACTTAATCAAAAATGTAAAAAGATAACCTACAAACTGGGAAAAATTCTTCAGGAACAACATATTTGATAAGTGTGTAATTTCTAAAATACGTAGAAAACGTCCACAAGTCAACAACAAAAAGACAAAAAACCCAATTAAAAAATGGGCAAAAGACATAAACAGCCAACTCACTAGAACCAAACAAACAACTGAAAAGATGTTTGGAATCTTTTGCTGTTAGAGACATGTAAATCAAAACAATGAGATATCATCTCACTTCTGAGAAAAAGGCACTGATCAAAAAAACAGAAAACAAATGCTGGTGAGGATGTGAGGAGACTGAAACCCTTTATCCACTGCTGGTGGGACTGTATAATGGTACAACCAGTATGGAAAATAGTATGGTGCTTCCTCAAAAAACCAGAAAAAGAACTACTTTATGATTCAGCAATCCCACTCCTAAGTATATACCCTGGAGACTTAATAGAAGTGACAGGAACAGACACATGCATATGAATGTTCATTGTAGCATTAAGATAGTAAGTGCCCATCAATGGATGAATGAATAAGCAAAATGTGGTACATACATACAAATAGAATAAAGAATAATGATGAACCCTTGAAACATCTTTTAACATGGATGTATCTGGAAGACATTATGCTGAGTGAAATAAGTCAAGCACAAAAGGACAAATATTGTATAGTCCCACTTTTTATAAAAAGACAAAAAATATGAATATACACAGAAACCAACATTCACTAGTGGTTACAAGGTATGGGTGAGTAGGGGAGAGGAAATCTTTCTTAAGATAGTAGATATTTGTTATTTTTGGTGATTACCAAATGTGGGTGAAATGAACACACAGTTTGATCAATGTAAATGATGTCAGTAAGAAGTACACACACACACACACACACAAAGTATGTTTTGGGTAAATGCTAAGACATAAATAATTTTGCAACAATAGCAACAACAGCCAAAAAATACATATGTTGTTACATATGTGTGTGTGTGTATATATATATATATATATATATATATATAGTTGTTGTTGTTATTT